GAGAAGTAAGTGTGTTTAGCAGGGCTTACTCCCTGGTATATATGCATAAAATTGTCATTTTAGATTGTAATCCTCTGCATGCTTACCTTGAAGTAATCTCCATTGTACACAGTGCAACTTGCTTCTCAGTAAACATGCTCAGGATTGCTCTGTTAGCGTTTTTAACTATGAATAGAACAAATGCATGGATTTGTGGGTTGACCCAGACAGTTGAAATCTGTTTATAGAGCAGAATGTATATGAATAAATCTGGAATTATCCAGATTAATCTCTGTGTATACTTTGTTCATACACACAATACTGACAGTTGAATAATGTGGCAGACCATTTCTTAAGCGGTTTGCTTGGTTTTTGTTGGCAGCCTGTATGCAAGCCCTGCATCTCTGGAGTCTGCTTGTCACCTGTGCTGTTGCAGTAGGAAAGCATCAAGAACAGAAGAAGCAAGAGTGCCCTAAACTCAGCACACAGGTACTCCCCCTAAAAAAAAAAGGAAAACTCCTGACAACTCTGTTGTCCAAAAGTAACCACAGCCCAGACTTCAACACTTATTTTTCATTTTGTAAGTGTTGCAGATCCAAAGTTCAAAATGACTTGAAGTCTAGAGAGTTTTCTAGCATCAAAAAATGTTCTGAGTAAGACTCTTAACTGTAGCAAGCATCCTTTACTGATATGATTTTTTACGTGTTGCTTCATCTATGTACATCAAGACCTTCTAGATTTATTAAGCTTAGTTTGCATGCAACCACTTTGTTATTCTTGGGTGTGAAGTGCATTTCCATACATTGCATCATGCCATCAGTTGAAAAGAATTTAGTAGTAACATGCAGGCAGCAGAAGTTAATAACTTATTGTGTATGTTTTAGTTCAGGAATGAGATAAATGACACCATCATGTATATTTATTAAACAGCTAAAACTCTGTGATTTTAATGTGCTGTAATTGTCATTAAAAGTTTTGTCTACTAAACCTGGGAGAGAGCTGATAGTTCTTTCTCATTTAACTGACTATTACCATCACTGCAAAAAACCTTTAATTTCTTACCTTAATAAGTTATTTTTCTTAAGTAGATGACACAAATAATAACATATACCCCTATAACTCCCATAATCTGCAAGCATTTTAGCCAGTGGTCCAGGTTGATGTGGGTCTGACAACATCTGCATACTCAGGGTTGAAGAATACGGTGTGGATTACAAAGCTGTTCAAAGTTTGGAATACTGGCTATTTTTTAAAAAAAACTTCGTCTGATCCCAAACATTTATATTTGAAACTAAGACCCATCCCAATTTTTTCTAAGGTTACTGTCTTGTAACCTGATCCTGTTCCTAGCCAGGGCATCATGTGGCAGATGAGTGTTCAAAAACTATCTAGCTCTATCACACTTTCTATTATAAGCAAGGGGAGAATGTGTTGCTGCCTTTAGCTGCAAAATTCTCACTTTGGTTGCTGAGGTCCACTGTCCCCTACACTATAGAGGGCGTGCAGCAGTTCTGCCCTGAGGAACTCATTGCTTATAGGGGACTTCCCTCCTCCAATTATGTACCACTAAAGGTAGTGAGAAAAACTCCCAGCATAGCTGGGGACACAATCCAGTCCCATTCTTTGCAACACAAAGGCAGCACAGAACTCCAAAATTACAGCACAAATTTTTGAAACTGCATAGATCTTAATTTGTTGCCATATTTATATTAACCATGCCTCAGGCCATAAATGCAACTAATTGTTACTTTTCATAATTAATCCTTACCACATTTCCTAAGCTGTGTGTAGTTTGTATGTAGAGAGTTTTAATCCGTATCTTTCAGAAGGAAAAAGGCAATTAAGCTCTTCCTGATAAGAAGTTCTACCAAAACTGGAAATAGTTAATGTAGAATAGAAATTAAATTAGCTTGTTTTTTTCAGAAGGTTGTAAAGTAGCTCTTTACTTTAAATAAACACTGATAAACAGACTTGGCAATGCTGTGGGAACTTTATATACCAGTAGAGTAGGCTTACATGGCTATCTGTTTATAAATACACTGATCTGTTGTTTGCCGTTCTTAGGAGTCTTGTTTCAAGGTGTTTCCAAAACAGTGTAATGAATAACTGTAGCTGACAATGTTTTAAACTTAGATAATTGTATTTAATATTATATTTGCAACTACTGTTCTTCAACATGCATAGTATTTTATGGGTATACAATTTTAGCACCATGTAATTAGCACTGAAAGACATGGCCCCCTGTCACTCTTGGAACAGATGGACAAATCCGTTCCTATCAGCAGCCAGGTATGAATGTTTGCTTTGTTGAAAGAGATATCTGAGCTAAGTATCTGAAATATTTCTGAATGAGAAGTTTATCTTAAACATTAAATCACATAATTCAGAATGTATTATCTGTTCTTAGCAAAACAAACTGTGCTGTTCTAATACACACTAACTTGGGATGAGCATAGGATTGCTTTTTTAATCAGTTAAGGGCAGTTTTAGGAAAATAAAATTCTTTAAAATTGGTATGCACAGAGATCAGTGATATGAAGACATAAGCAACTTAAAGTCCAGATAACCTTATTCTTACTGGTCTTTCTGGGCTCTGCAATCTTTAACTAGCGGTTCCCTGTGTCCTGTATAACTGTAGTTAAGCAGAGGGCTGCAAGTACCTCAAGTAATTATTAACAAAGTAGAGCTTTGTTTATGACAGCATTCTTGTGGTACTACTAAATCTTATGTTAGCGCTTTGTGCCAGACCATATTGGCTTAATGTCGCACTGAAAAAAACCTTAAATTTGCTTAGACTTCTTCAAAGTTGACATGTCTGGGGATTGACTGAGTATAAAGTACTTTTCTACTTTCAGCAGACAATAAGTATATATGAGTGCCTAACAAATTACTTAGTAATTTTCCTCAGAGTTTGTTCTCCTAAGTATGCTCTATATTGTCAGAAATATAGAAAAATGTAGTGGAAGCAATGAAATAGGGCAGAAGCTTAGTTCATTAAAATTACAGGTTAAAACCATAAGGTCCATCTTCTGCATTTTCTTTTAAAACTAATTTCTCCCACCAAAAGATCAAGTACTTTCGATCCTAAAGCTTGCATTGGTACTTAAAGTGTTATTTCTCCTTTGTACTTACAACTCAGCTATACAGCTGCAAATAAAACATTTTAAGTGTGTTGTAAAGTGCATTATACAAATGTGACACTAGATGGCGATGGTGAGCTAATGGCAAATTCAGTATATTTTTCAAAATGTTTTTAACTAAAGCATTTTCACAATGTTTTTATATGTGTGTAAATTCCACCTTAGCTTACCAAGCCTTCCAGTTTATACCATGTTTGTGCAGCTTCTTATATCAGTACTACCTTCCTTAGGTGATTTTCATAATGCAATATTCATAAATAAACTAGTCTTTATGGATTATTTTTCTGGTAAATAATTTTATTTTTCCTTAATAAACAAAAAATAGAAAATAACTAAGAAAATTTGCATGATGTTTACATGAAGCACCATCCCACTGTTAACACTGTATCTGTGTCATCATTTTTTAAAATTAGGATCAGTTAAATATTGATATATGCATATTCCAGTTTGGTTTCCCACTGGTATATGCTATTAAGGTTAAAAAATAATAGGGCTTGTTGTCTCTGTTACTGAGCAATAGCTTATCAACCAGATAAGTAGATTTTAGCTTATTGTGACAAAACAGACAACTCACTTGTGACCCTCCTAGAGGATTTTCAACAAATACCGATTCCGTCCCCTTCAAGATTTATATACCACTTGATTGTAATAAAGCCTCAAAGCAATAAAACAATAACATTATCAGCCAAAGCAGTTAGAGCAAATATTTAGAACATTAAAAAAATGAAAACAGCTAAAATCAGATTAAAATGCATCATAGCTTCCACATGTCTGGCTAGCCTTGGCTAAACAAAAATGTTTTCAGCAGACACCGAAAAAGTGCAATGAAGGTACCCAGTGTCAACTATAGAGGGGCAAAGTTCTGTGCCCAGTAGCTTCTGTGTCGGATTTTACTTCTGTATGTAGCTTAGCAAGAATGGCATGCCTCAACCAAGATACCTTCATAGCTATGTCAGCAACACACATACTGTCATATTTAAAACTGAGTCATTAAGCAAATGGATTCCATTCTTTGAGAGACAGGAAGCTTGTCATCCTTCCTGAAAGGATGTTGCCATGATGTAATTGTACTATTCCAGCTCTTATCTCTTGGTAGTAGTTCTTCCCTAGCTATGTTGACTACATTGGTGATAGGACAAGAGAATGTTTAGTTGCTTTGTCCACTGAAAATAATTTGGTTTGATCAAAAGATATCCCCCAGGTGAGTTGCTGCTTTGGGGGTGATCTGCAAAGCCTACTTGCTTCTTCTGGTCTTTCCCATGTTATGCACAAGAGTCCTGCCTATAAGCTTTAGGCTTTGAGTTACGCAAATCATTACCGTCTGCAGTCTGCACTACCTATGTTGACTCTGTGACTTCTTCCAAATGTGCTACCTGGTCTGTCAGGGACTCTGTAGATCACTGTGGATGCTGTGTGGCCTATGGGGATCAGAATCCTAGGGTAGGAGCGAATATGAGGACTTGTGTTTATATTCATGTTAGATCGGAGTGGAAACTTGATATAACTTCTTTCTTGCCAATGCATGCAATTATGCTTTCGAAGCATCTTCCAAAACTATGATAAAACTTTGAGGCCTGCCACTATACAACACATTTATTCAGTCTGTATCTAACAACACGGTAACAGCAGTAGTGACTTTGTGCTTCATATCCTCACCAGTTGCAAAGTGCTTATAATTACAGTCGAAAGTAAAGAGTTTTGTGAATAAATGTAAAGATGTTTTGATAAAGATTTGTATGAATGTTGACTAAGCGCACCCATCATTTTCCCTTTCTAAAGACATGGTATTGTATTTTATCCTATAAGCCTGAAATCCACAGAACTTGTGAAATGCTCTATTTTATAAAATTAATATCTACCTCTTGTTCACGTTTTCTATAGATGCCAGAATTTCAGAAGAAAACGGTCCATATCAGGGACCCAGAAAGGGTGGAAGAAATTATCTGTGGTCTCATCAAAGGAGGAGCTGCGAAACTTCAGGTGAAGACTAAAACACGTTTGTAGAAATTCACCATCATGCAACTGTTGTTTCAGCAAAGTCAAAATCACTATATATATATATACAGACATTTACTAGATCCGTAGAGTTGTGGGATTTATTTAAATATTCTTAGTAACACACTCATCACAACTCAGGTGTATAATTGCATCATTTTTAGTAATGCATTTTTGATTAATAATGTTGATGCACTGATACTGACTACATTTGCTTGAATTTTAGGAGTGATCCTAGACTTGTACGCTCCCCCTCCACCCCTTTTAATAATAATAATAATAATAGATTTATACTCTGCCTGTCTGACTGGGTTTCCCCAGCCACTCTGGGCGGCTCCTAACCGAATATTAAAAACACAATACAGCATTAAACATTAAAAACTTCCCTAAACAGGGCTCTTTTAAAAGTAAGATGCTGGGAGGCACCACTACCGAGAAGGCCCTCTGCGTTCAGCATGACCATGAAGAGGAGGATGGAATATTTTGCCTCTGGTTTAGACTAACTGTAGCTTCGTATTACATCTGAACCCTAAATTGTGTTTAATCTAAAAAATGGTTTACTAAAACAATCCACCTTCGCAACTCATGATTTGAAGTCTGCTTGGTTTTGTAAACCATAGTTAAAACTAACCTCAGTTTGTCCTGGTGCTGATATTGTGCTAACCTGTGGTTAGTCAAACATGGCAGCAAAAAGTTCCAAATTCCTTCTTGCAACCTTTCCAGAGGAGCACGGGAACTCAAGGTTCACACACACTTTTCCTCATACTTCTACACTATGAGCCATTCAGTGTATATTTTTTAAACTTTGTCCCTCGCTTAAATTCTAGGCATTTAACATTTGTGCTCGTGATTTATAATTTGTTTCATCTGCCTTTTACAGATAATTACAGACTTTGATATGACACTGAGTAGATTTTCCCACAATGGCAAAAGATGTCCAACATGTCATAGTAAGTACTATGTATTGTTTATGAGTAAGTACTATAAATAGTACTATAAGTACTATAGTAAGTACTATAAATAGTAAGTACTATTTATTGTTTATGAGATAGGCTGCAAACATCTATCTACTCGCCCGGTAGAAAGCTCCATTGAACTCATTGAAATTTCTGAATAGGCCTCTATAGAATTTATGAATTGTATCCAATACTCTATGTGCAGTGCTTCCATTCCTCTTCCAAAATCTACTCCAGAGGGCTCCCCATCCCTCTGAAATAAATTTTGAAGACCCTCAGGGGGCTAGAAGGAAAACAGAGGAAGAGGAAGTCTATTGCAGGTAGGGAAGTTCATTGCAGCAGTGGAGCTGGAGCATTAAATATGGTCTGTTGTATATTTAAGTAGATACTAGAATTATAATACAAGGTGATAATCAGTATTTGAGCCTAAGAAGTCCCCTCTCTCCCCTGCAGTAACCTTAGTAATTTTTTCTTCCCTTGCAATTTATTACACCCCATTCACGACAACTCTATGTATGCATATTATGCAAATATGGGGTGGAAGATCCTCCTTTAATGAAATAAGTTGGACTTAACGATTTTCAAAAGGAGATGCTTTGATGTCTGTAGCTCTTTTTAACACACTGATTTTAATAATTGCTTTATAACTTCTAAAACAAATAGCATTGTTAGTTTTTTTTAACAGGTTAAAACTATTGCACTGATTTCGGGCAAGTTAGAATCTTGCACTGTTCTAATAACATTCTGTACATCTTTCAGACATCATTGACAACTGCAAACTTATAACAGAGGAATGTCGCAAAAAGGTAATCCTAAAAATTACTTATTTGCCCCTTGTTGTGGCCACTTACAGTGCAACACTTGTAAAGGATTACTCCACTCAAGCTTAATATCAAATTATTTCACGAGTGTGCTCTGTTGGCCCCACTTTTTTCTCTTTTCTCAAAGTGTGTTACACTTATCTCCCAAGTGAAAATAACATTTTCTGCGTCTGATGGTGGACTTCAGTACACAACGGTTTATGCCACAGTGAATTCCAAACCCTTGGTATGTTGCACAGGATGCAGTGGTGGTTTTCTTCCACTCATCCCAAAGCAGTTCCACTGGTCTTCCCCCATGATGTGATCCTGCACCACCACTCTGGCACAGAACTCTGTTTTGCCTGCCAAAAGTACAGGTGGGTGGAAGTACCACCGATGGGATGACTCAAGTTCTTTCTCGTTTGAGACTTTCGGCAGAAAAACACAATGAGAATCCCAAGATCCACTGGATTCCAAACTGGCCCTTGATGGCATTGGGTCCAATCAATATGCCAACTTTTATTTCTTAGTGTTGCTTTGTTAATTGGTTTTTGAGCCATAAAGCAAAAGTCCTTAACTGAAATAGATTTTTAATGTGGAGGGTGAATATTTCCTGATCTTTTCACTGAAAAGCTTTAGCACTAGGGCAGCAGCAGCAATCCTCCATTGTGCAGAGCACCCAAAACCAGGAAATTATACTTATACACGTTAACAGGAAATATACAAGGATTAAAGCAGCAAATTTGTTTAGATTATTTGATCAAAGCACAAAAGTTGTCATCATGGAGTACAACATATGCAGAATGTTTGAACTTTTCTTTTTTCAGTTGTACCAGTTGAAAGAAATGTATTATGCTATTGAAATTGATCCAAGTCTTACAGTTGAAGAGAAGTATCCTTACATGGTTGAGTGGTGAGTTTTCTGTAATGGTTAATATTATAGCAAACTTTTACATCTTAATTGTTAGATTGACTTGATTACTGAAGCACACTTCCATATTTTACACTCAAAATTTAAAATGAATTCCAAAATTATATTGCATGAGTAAACATTTATTGTTTTGGTAAAACAATAGCAGCCAATTAGAGTGTACCATTATGTACAAAAGGCATAATCTAGTTAGATTTCTCTCAAAAGGCATAATCTAGTAGTTAGATTTCTCTCAAAAGGCATAATCTAGTAGTTAGATTTCTCTCAAAAGGGTTGCCTGAGTTATCTTTTGCCATGGAGTTTTCAACTCCCTTCTTTCTGATAGCAGCTGTCAAAATTAAAGCCATAAAAACCCTCCAGTGCTGTTCAAGAATTTGTGATCAGGAAAAGGGGAAATAGTGTGCAGCTTAAATGGCTCTTTAGATATGTGATGGAGAACTTATGACACAAAGGCCATGTGTGGCCTTCTGTGTAGTCCTATGCAAAAATTCAGTTTAGACCTGTTAAAGGAGGATAAAAATTGAAAAAGCTGAAATAGATGGATGAACATTGGGGGGAGAGGGTGGGAATTCATGCAAATGCTTTTAATGTAGTTAATTGTTTAGCAGTCAATCGAAGTAGCATTAGGGAAGCTCTCTAAAACACTTTATTTTATGCACTTCATTGGTTTTGATACCATTTGATATAGTACTATTTCAGTGTCCTTGAAGCTGGTTATATTATTGTTAATATCTGATTGCATTGGAAATGTTTATCATATGTGACTCAAGACTCTATAGTGAATTGAAAATGTTGCAATGTCCTTATCAAAATGAATTATTTGGATTTCTGTGTTATGTTTTCAAATGAATTAGCATATACAGTGGTACCTTGGTTCTCGAACGTAATCCATTCCGGAAGTCCGTTCAACTTCTGAAACGTTCAAAAACCAAGGCGTGGCTTCCGATTGGCGCAGGCGCCCCCGAAACGATAGCTGACAGCCGTATCAGATGTTTGGCTTCCAAAAAACGTTCGAAAAACCAGAACACTTACTTCCAGGTTTTCGGCGTTCAGGAGCCGAAATGTTTGAGTACCAAGGCGTTTGAGAACCAAGGTTCCACTGTAGACTGTTGTTATAATGATATATTGATATATTGGTTTGCATTTTTTGCTGTCATGTTGTAACCTGCTTTGTGTGTATGTGAAGAAAAAAGCATGGAAATTAAATAATAAAAATTAAATACTTCACACCTAGGACTTTAGGATATTATGTACAGATTTCACTTTATTACATTAAAGATTGGGCTGGCACATTGTTTTACTTTGGCTATTTTATCAAAATATCTGTAGTGCCTGTGGTTCTCAGAATTCCAAAAGTGCCCAGAAAAGTCAGCAACCCTAATCTGAAACATTCCTTTTCCAGTAAGAGAGTGCGAATTTCTACCCTACTTGAACACGAATAACATGTTTTTGGTGTTTATTTTAGGTACAACAAATCACATGCTTTGCTTATTGAACAAGGATTACAAAAGCACAAACTTGCCGAAATTGTGAGGGAGTCTGATGTTATGCTGAAGTAAGTAAGAACCTAGTATTCCATTTCTCTAGTTTTGTAAATGTGGTATAATATCAGATTTTAGGAAAGGGTTTCTTCGTTGGGAATTACAGAAATGGAAAGCTGTTACATGCCCATATGTGCTTTCCAATTTAAAAAAAAGATTGGATTAGCAGGCTAGGGTCTCCCCTTCCTTGCACTACTTAAGCAGGATGCTTGAGTTCCTCTCTTCTCTATCCATACATCTATTAGGTTGAAGTACAAGGATCTGACATGCAACCTTTACTTATCTTCATGCCCTCTAGCCTGAGGAATAGGAAAGTAGATGTTGCAAAAGCTAGTTAATTTTTTTTTAAATTCCCTATCTTGTCATTTTTACAGATAAGGTGCTGCAGGAATTCCTGCTACACCCTTGCTTTTTGAGAAGCAAACTGTTTTACGTTTGCAAAGTAGAATGACCTGAAGGACATGTTGCTCAAAAGAGAACAGATATTTGATAAAACATTTTTCTTAGCATTTTTATTGATTTTAATGCAAAACATCATCTTCAATCAAATGTTTTAGATTTTGAAACTATAGCTAAATAAACTTTCCATTAAAGGGAAAAAAATGCACCAGCATCTTGCCTATTTCATAGATATTTTGGGGGGAGGATATGTTAAATTTCTATTTTTGCAATAAAAAATGTAATAGTATCAGGCTTTAGTTCCTTTTCTAAAAAAAATATCTTCTTTTACAGAGAAGGGTATGAGAATTTCTTTGATAAACTCCATGAACATAATATTCCCGTATTCATATTTTCTGCTGGAATTGGAGACATCTTAGAAGAAGTCATTCATCAAGCCGGTGTCTACCATCCCAACGTCAAAGTAGTTTCCAACTTCATGGATTTTGATGAGAATGTAGGTATAAACATATCAAATGCATACTGTTAATTCATTGCAACACATCCTGTACTACTAAGGAAGTAGCTTCCGACTCAGGCATTAAAATGGGCATTTCCTATATTAAAGCCAATCATTAGGTCTGGTGCAGATTGCATCAGCCAAACTGCTGATGGGATCGTATGACCAACCCTGTAACGCCATTGGCTGCCTGTATACCACTGAGCCAGGGTCAAAGTATTAATTTTCAAGTATTTTAAAAAATAATATTGGGTCTACAGAGTAGATTGGATAGAATCAATTAAGTAACTTAAGTCTGTTGAGTTCAGTGTGTCTGCTCTGGATATTAGACTAAATATCAGACTAGATTCAAAGTGGGAGAGGACACAAGGTTTCCTAGAGTGAATGAATGAGTTTCCTTTGAATAAAGCATTATTCTCACTATAATAAGCATCATATAATTGAAGTTGGTTGAAAGAATAAAGCCTCTTGGAAACATTCTAAAGAGACACAGAAGGGACACTTGTTAATTTGCTAAGACCATTCTTAGAACTAACTATTGTCATGTTTAACAGGGCGTATTAAAAGGATTTAAAGGGGAACTGATTCATGTTTACAACAAACATGATGGCGCCTTGAAAAATACAGAGTACTTCAAACAATTAAAGGACAACAGCAACATCATATTGCTTGGAGATTCTCAAGGAGATTTAACTATGGCAGATGGAGTGGCAAATGTTGAGCATATTCTTAAGATTGGGTATCTCAACGATAAGGTAAGTCTTTGTCTCTTTGATAAGCATAATGTCCATAATATTAGATTTTATGGTCAGGTATACCTTTTTCTAGTGGGACGCGGGTGGCGCTGTGGGTTAAACCACAGAGCCTAGGGCTTGCCAATCAGAAGGTTTGCAGTTCAAATCCCCGTGACGGGATGAGCACCCGTTGCTCAGTCCCAGCTCCTGCCAACCTAGCAGTTCAAAAGCACATGAAAGTGCAAGTAGATAAATAGGTACCGCTCCAGCGGGAAGGTAAACGGCATTTCCATGCACTGCTCTGGTTCACCAGAAGTGGCTTAGTCATGCTGGCCTCATGACCTGGAATCTGCACGCTGGCTCCCTTGGCCAATAAAGCGAGATGAGCACCGCAAACCCAGAGTCGTCTGCGACTGCACCTAATGGTCAGGAGTCCCTTTACCTTTATACCATTTTCTAACACAGAATGTGTTCAAGGGTAGAAGCTTAATACATTCAAACCTCGGATGTCGAACATGATCCATTCCAGAACACCTATTGACTTCTGAAACGTCCGACAACCTGGCGCAGCTTCCGATTGGTTGCAAGAGCTTATTGCACTCAAGTGGAAGCCATGTCGAACATTCAGGTTCTGAAAAACGTTCAAAACCCGGAGAATAGGTTACGACTGTTAAATGTACTGCTTCCTGCTGTAAAAGATCCTAAAGCAATTTGAAGCAAAAGTAAAACTAAATAATAAAATTACATAAGCATACTTAAAACATAGTCAAGCATCCAATCATTGGTCCTTCTCAAATACCCAAGAAACAAGAATGTATTTGCCTGACACCAAGACACTGACAACGTTGGTTTGGGGTGGGCCTTCCTAGTGACAGCATTCCCTATGTAGTATTCAAGGTCATTGTTTGTCTTATATAATATCATAGAGGTCACATCTGACAACAGAATTAAATGTGCAGCAGCTGAAAGAAAGGTTTTATGGAATGATTTGTTTGAACCAGTCCATTATTACCCCATAATAAAGAACAAAAAAAATTATTTGTACAGCAACTTATTAACATGCGTCCAAAAGACACATGATTGCACATAGCGATGAACCCAGAAGTGACTGAAAACTTCACTAAACACTAAACGTCACTAAACACATCACTAAAAGGGCAGAACAGGGGCAAGGTGTGCTTATATGTGCTCCACTGATGCACTTGGGCGGGAACGGAAATAGTTGTTGATATATATTGATCAATCCTGATACTTATTTTTACTTATCTACTCCTTAGAGATCCTTATTAACTCATAACCTAGCCTAAGTTCAGCAGCCACATCTCATACCTCACTGACTCCTAGTATGGTTGTAATATAAAAGCCACAGATTGCATTGTATTTAAATAAGGTTTTTTTGTTTTTACAAAATAAAGCAATGCTTCACCCTGACTTACATATGTGCTAAATAGCTTTTGTGTGCAAAATATATTCAGGGTAGCAAATTATATTTTGCTTCCCAAAATTATGGGAACAGGGTTGAATCCTTTGTACTTTAAAGGCCATTCCAGAGTTCTGAAATCTGGTTGCAAACATCTTTGAATACACCATCTACATTACTTAGTAAAAGAAAAAAACAGATATCGCCACTTTCCTTTTAAAATGGTGTTGACTTGGCAAATTGTAATATGTTTCTTGGTGTTTGACTTTTTCTGACATTTGGCTTTTTCTTTGCGTTCTAAAACCTAGGTTGAAGAATTGCTGGAGAAATATATGGACTGCTATGATATTGTGTTGGTGAAAGATGACTCTTTAGATGTGGCCAACTCAATCTTACAAAAGATTCTGTAAAGAGCATCATTGGAATTTGCTTGTTTTCCTCCTGGTGAAGGCAGTTGGACAAATCAGCATGCCTGTGCTATCTTAGAATATCAATCTTGATGCTGTTTTGTATGGGAGTCACTTTATTTGTAAAGTAATATACTGTATCCATGATCTTCTGGACGCTCACCCCCTCCCCCATCACTTTTAATGGAACCCCTTATTTATTCTAATGGATAGGTTGTATGGATAACTGGAAAAAAGTTCCTTCAGTTTTATTCATGCACAATAAAGGGATGTTTTCAGAATATGTGAGACTGTTGTAGAAAGTGCACGAGAAGCATGGTGAATAAGCACATGTGCAGGTAACTGACTTGATTACAGTTCATAAGTTGCACCTTTTGAGTTTAAGGGGTTTAATATTGCTGATATTTGTATATTCTTCAAAAAGATACTTTGTGCCAGAGCACAGATAAGAAAGCTTGCTATTGACTGCTCTTTTCGGTACACAAGAGTGAAGACTAAACACTGCAATCTTTAACATCATGCTGGCTATAAAAATAATGCTAAAGCAGATCTTGACTGCTTTATAATAAGATATGTGTCTGTCCTATGTTTTGGCCCTGAACAGTTCTAATGACACTTTTTCTACTTTACCAAATAGCAATACACAGAGTTTAGATTATTTGATCAAAGCACAAAAGTTGTACGCTAGTTCTGTTTCTGCTGTAGTATGTCTCATGTAACTATTCGTGAAAATGTTAAGTGTTTCGAAATGAAAGTTTCTTCCGCAGCTGTGATCCACATTTCTGTCCAGCAGGAGGCAGATAAAGGCTGGTTTGGGGCTAAACTAGGAAGCAGGAGATGTAGAGTTGGCCAGTTCTGATCCACTATCCAACACAAGCTGGGATCTTTTCTCCTTCGAATGGTTCTCAGAATAAAGGGTTTGTGCTTCCTAGTTTACTCCAAAGGGAGACTCATTTCTTCAAGCTAGATGGGGAGAGCATTTATGGAATGGGGTCCATTGTCTTTAGAACAAAACAAGAAAGTTGGAGACGCCAAACTTTTAAATTTTATTTATGTGCATTCTCATTAATGAAAGTGTGGACTGATTAATTTGGTACTTACAAACCAGGTAAAACTCTTTCACGGGTTTACTGTTTAACCCAATCAGGAAAACAAGTCCCATGTCTTCCTTAAGAAGACTATCCAGAACAAGTGGAGCTGCCAGTCTGGAAGAGGAGCTTCTACCATATTGGCAGGCCTTGCTTTTGGGTGCAGGCTGCTGCTGCTTGTAACGGCTACCAGGCAGGCGGATCCATGCCCAATTCTCATGCATGATTACTACTTGGAACAGACCCGTGTGAGACAAACTGCCTATATGAATCTGTTTCCCATAAGAGCCCAATGCTTTCAACAATGCTTTAGTTGAATTGCTGCATTGCAGGGCATTGGACTAAATGACCCTCTCTTCTATGATTCTAGCCCAGCTCCTCATGCAGATACATGGCATTGTTTTAAGTGATATCTAATAATGCTGATTACATATATCAATTCTAGAGAGCTTTAATGGGGAGTTTTTTCATCTCTTTACAAGGGGTAGCTTAAAACCAAAAAACACCACTCTCCTGCTGCCAGAAAAAGAAACCAAAAAGCAGCCAGTATTATTTAAAGTACTGTTCATAATGGTGCGTTTCATTTGTTACCCACATTCAGCCTGTAGTTAATTATAAAAGGTGAAAGAATACAATATTAATTTACAGGGCTTGGCTCATTCACACTGTACACTTTGCCTCCATAATTGGGCTACAACTACGTAAATGGATTGTTCACCTTTCAGAGGGCTTTTGGATGTGATCTGAACCCCTATGTCCCAGCTCCAATTCCAGAGCTAGCCAAGCAGTTCAGATATATATTGAAAGCCATTCAGTGTTTCCCAACCTTGTGCCTCCAGATGTTTTTGGCCTACAACTCCCATCATCCCTGACTAGCAAGACCAGTGGCAAGGGATGATGGGAATTGTAGGCCAAAAACAGCTGGAGGCACAAGGTTGGGAAACACAGATTAGATCAATACTGTCACTGTTAAGCCTTTCCCCATCCCCAGTCACCTGTACATGAAGAGTAGTGCAGAATGTGTCTGTCCATATTTTATTTTAATAAAAATAACAGCATGTATCACACTTGACAAATCCTTAAGACATTAATAATATTACAAAGCGTATAAAACATAACTTTGCGTACTGCAAAAGTGTTTTGAAAGGTATGTCATAGTTTTAGAACTAGCACCATTCTACAATTAAAAAAGAAGACGCTTTGTACATTCCCATTAGCGGGAGGACCGTGGCTTTGTCCTCCTTTTCCCTTTGGGGGAGGTCACTCACTTAATTTATGCTCTTGTGCTCTTTAGCCGCAGGGTATTAGCTCAGTTGCTTAGTGTGTGGTGCTGATTCGATCCCCGTAAGGTTCATATCCTTGCAGGTGGCTGGACTAGATGTTCCTCATGGTCCCTTCCAACTCTACAATTTATGATCAACAAAATATTTTTATAGACACAAATGAGACCTGAGATTCACTCTGAAGTACACTTATGACAGTTCTCTAGTTGAGGAGTCACTGCACAAAAAAGTAGATGGAGTAGCCATATGTTGTATACACAATTACAATCTACCATTATGCATATTGCAGCATATTTCTAGTACAGTTCTGCTTTCTTTTTTCTATAATACACGTTAGTGAGGACAGACTAATTTCAGGGTGATACTCAAGAGTAGGCCCATTAAAATAAATGGACATGTTTTGATACAGGGCAAAGAATGATACACACTTTTTGTGATTGGTTTTTGTATTCATAGCTTCAGTTACAATCCTTAGGGAAACATGACTCCCTATCTCCAGTACTGCTCATGGTGCTACCATAGCATCTGACTTTGGGATAACGGCTTTGAAAAAGATTTAGTTCAGTTCCTCCCATCGTAGAAGATTTTCTCTTTCTTAGAGAGATGATTATAAAACTACAGTTGGAGTGTAACCGAACAGGGCCGTGGTGCAGGAGTTTAACAGAAATGTACATTTTTGTTCTAAGCTCAAAATTCTTTACCACCTCTCAAAAAATACGTCACAAGATTTGTGGCACTATTTTTTTTTAAGTCATTGAAACCAATTTTGAGGCATTTCACGTTTTATAAAAATGCCACAGTCTTCCCCTTACTTTAGCCTACTTCACTCTTACAAAGACAGGAGTATTCATTTTCACTGTCCACACTTTTAAGTATATACACACACATTTCAAACCACTTCTATTGTGCATACATTCTGACAGCAGTTTAGCTCCTACAAATTTTAAAAACAAACTACAGTTCGTCATGTCCCTGTGGCTCTTGGTCTTTCAGTTTGAATTCATCAGCGGTTATCTTGCCATCTCCATTTCGGTCCTGATTGCTGAACATGTTTTTCACAATTGTTTCAGAATCAAAGCCAGGAGCTAACTTTCCTTTGCCAGCCTTGACTTGTTCGTGGATGTAGTCGCCAAACTACAATTTAAAAAATAAATACATTAGTGAAAAGTAAAATAATGTTTGCAGCCAGGTTTGCATCTGTCCCCTCATATTCACATACAGTGCTAAGTAAATACCAGTTAATACTTTCTCTCTAGTGAGTACAGTGGTACCTCGGTTTATAAACTTAATCCATTCCGGAATTCCGTTCTTAAACCAAAACGTTCTAGACTTAAACCAAGGCATGCTTTCCCATAGCAGCGGGGGACTCAATTTACAAATGGAACACACTCAACAGGAAGTGAAGCATGTTCTGCTTCCAAGGCAAAGTTCACCTTTGCCGCGTTCTTAATCCAAGTTGTTCATAAACTAAGCTGTTCTTAAACCAAGGTACTACTGGGTCATTTGAGAGGTTCAAGTGTCAAATTAGTACTTAAATTCCAAGGTGCATGCCAGTACTGCCGCTGCCGCTGGAATTTCAAATAACCAAAAGGAACTGGGAAATTCCCATAAGCAGTGTTTGTATCCATTACTAAGTACTGTAACAGCTGCTGAGTCCTGACCCTTTGAGATTTTTTGTTAGGGACCTATGCCACAGACATTCAGTTAAGCTGGGCTTCAATCAGATCCTCTTAACTGGAGTAGCTATTCTCTGTGTAGGATTATGTATCTCCTGTGCTCAAGACCTAGAAGCACACTGGTCTCTTGTTTCTGTAGAATGTCCAAAGCAACTGCATGATCGTATGCATTGCTATGGGTAGAAATATTTGTTTTAATTTTCCATAAATGATTGTCCCGTCAGAATAGAAACATGATCTTCAATATATTGCTTGAAGACTGGGGCTCCACTCAGTGTCCTGTATGCTGTCGTCTGTGAACTTACTAGCTCCTATAGAATTTTTTTCCAATGCAGCTTTACTAGCCAAAACCTTACCTCTTCCAGAAGAACCTCTCCATTATTATCTTTGTCAATCTCTTCAAAGAGATTAGGAGAGACTTCCTCATGCCATACAAACATATAGCCCTCTGGTAGGCCAGAAACCAAGTCGAACAGTTCAATGTCAAAAACCAATACGGCGCTACCAGGCACTTCTCCTTCTGTAACAGTAAATAACAAAAAATAAAGTTAGATTTCTGTTATGTAGGAGCATTTTGGAATTTGTTCCACCCCCAGCATTCGCAAATTGAGCAGTTAATATAAATTGTTCAGATTTCATCCCCTGGCTTAGAAACATCATCAAGATAAAATATGAGAAAATAAAGCCTGCAGCATCCAAAAGAAATATGGCTAACGTATTCTTCATCTTAGAAGGTGCACTATGCTTTGTGACTATTTGCACTTAAGGTAAGGTTGTTTGCTAATTCACAAGTATGTATAAGCCCTTCCCCGTTGCTTTATTAATTTGGACTATTTTCATTCTGAGAGAAAACCATATTTATAATATATTATGATCTAATCTAATCTAATAATATAGATGCACCTCTTTACCTTAGCTTTTAACAATTGAAGTGTATATTTTTAAGACATATTTCTATACATTTAAGTTTTAAACTTTTTAATATTGTGTTTTTAATTGTTGTAACCTGCCCTGGGATCTTGGTGGGAAGGGTGGTGGGGAAATAATAATAATAATAATAATAATAATAATAATAATAATAATAATAATAATAATAATATCATCATCATCATTACCCGGATATATTCTCAACATCTCATGTTGTGAATATACCTTTTTAGACTAATATTCTTACTTAAATTGCATGAAAGATACACCACCTCAGAGCTGTTCATGAACCAATGAACACATTTAAGG